GTGTGTGTGTGTGTGTGTGTGTGTGTGTGTGTGTGTGTGTGTGTGTGTGTGAGTGTGTGTGTGTGTGTGTGAGAGAGAGAGAGAGAAAGAGAGAGAGATGAAAGAAGGTCTGAGGGCAACGGAAGAAGGGGGAGGGGGGATTGTGATGTTGGTAGTGTGCACATGAGTTTTATCGTTTCTCACCTTTTCATCTTAGAGCAATATCGTAAAAGGTTACACAATTTATTAGAGGTAGTGTCCCCGACTAACGTTCATAACTATCCAACCTGAACAAGTTAATTTACACTGATTTGAACAATACCTAACAACTAACAGGAGTTCGATTTAAATTTAGTAACAGTTTTACGGCAATTGCACCACAATAAGGTTATATAAGAGGGGTTATAAGAGAGAGACGTCACGGCCCGGAATTGCACACACAGCTTGTGATTCACAAAGGAAAAAAAATGGTCTACAAAAAAGGGCCTTATCAGACTTAAGCATAGGAGTTATTCTTTCCACAAGGCAGCTTGTCGACAGTTGCTGTTTCTCATACCAAAAGGGCTATCAGTGACATCAGTAAACGTTATTGACAACACGCTGGATATCTTTCTACTCACAGCATAATCCTCCCAAATTCCATAATCCAGATATATCAAGTTACGAATACACTTCAACGCCGAGCTGCGAGGCCCTTTTTCAATATACATTGTAGGTGATTTTTACCTCCCCCGCTCCCACCCCCCTCCCACCCCGAAAAAAAACTTTAAAAAAAACAACAAACCAACTAACAAACAAAAACAATTTAAAACTTAATAAATAAAAATAAATAAAATAAAACTTTATAAAAAATTAAATAAATAAAAATAGAAAAACAAAAAAAAATCGACACTATCGAGTTCACGTAAGTGGCGGCTTCGAACCTGCATGTCAGGGCCGACCTTGGCCGAGAAGGATACAACGTCCCAGCAATAAGACGGGATACTGGATAAAAATTCTCCTTACACTGGAATCGAACTCAGATCTTCTGTGTGCAGCGGCGAAGCCTGACCACTACATCACAGACGCTGGCTGAGGGTGTCCTACACAAAGTCTTTTACTTGACTTTTTGAAGGCTGTTCTGGTGGCTGGCAGATGAAGTAAGCTGCTGCTGCTGCTGCTACTGCTACTGCTACTGCTACTAC